TAGGTTTTTGACCTCAAGGATTCCAAATCGAACTTTGTTTTGACATACACAATACTTTTGTCCACTGTAGTTGTCAGAGTATTTCCAGGGGCATACTTAAGAGCAAAAGCTTGCAGGTTCAGGTTTAATTTGGATGTGACACTATAATGTTATTTTCTGGTCTGCAAATGAGTATAATGCATTGCTTGTGGTTGATGGTTTATATTACTGAACACATAAAGGTAACATAAATTGTTCCTTGCATGTATTCTTCCTTCTTCAAGAAACGCTGATATAGGTGGTCATGACTAATTGTGGATTAATCACACGTAGGTGGCGTATATGGCTACTTGTCCAGTGAATGTATTCATAGAATAGTAGTGGTGGTGGTGGTGGTGAAATAATTGAAAATTGTACCTGTGATATTGCGCCAGCAATGGAACGTATCAATTGAGAACTTTGCTGTATATGCCAGTCTGATAAACATGGAGAGTTGCAAACACCAAAGGTAGAAAACCTTTAACTCCTGGCAGAGACCTGACGGACTTTAAGGAAATCAATGCCGTTCAGTCTGATATTACAGTCTTCTTTGATCAACTAAATAATGCATCAGGTATTGCAGCAACACTCCGATCCCATAATGCTTAGTGTCACAAAACATGTAGGAGCTGCTGTACTAGTTTTCGTGTGAAGAGGCTGCGTCAAAACCATGAACACAGAGTTCACCCAACATCACTCAGATCAGCGGGGGCATCACATGGAAAACGCAGTGATGTCAAATGCTGCATTATCGGTGATGGATATGACCAGAACAAAATACGCAAGGTGGCAACTGACAACGTAGATACAAATCTAAAAAGCTGGGCAAAGTCAAATAATAACTTCCGGTTGAAGGGTAAATTGATTGCACATGCTGCGGATGCCCATGCTAGTGATGTTTTGTATCATGTTCAATGCTATTTGCATCTATGAGAGACTGCACGCGCTGCCGATAGTCGAGCATCCACAAGCCTTGGTCTGCATTAGTTTCGTCAAACACACAAATAGTAGCCCTTGTTGAGGATTAAGCACATCTTGGATTTTGCCAATATGGCGGCCCCAATGGTCACCGGCTTTGGCGCCCTCCAAAAATGAATTTAGTATGTTCTGGTCTACACCTGTGCCAAATTTGATGCTTGTAGACACATCTGCACGATATCCCCCTAAGGGCCTGGACTATAGAAGTAGTTGCACCGGTCTCAGCGATCGCCAGTCGGTCGAAAAGGAAATCAGTCGATAGGAGGTTGCATCGCATTGTCTGTGTGACTAAGGCTTCACCTCGCCACCCCAGCCCAGCGCTTCTTGACTTAGAATAGGCTCTTAACCCATTTTCTTTATTTATGAGGTCACGTCATCCTACGAACAAAGTTGAAATAAAACCTTGACAATACTAATAATGGCCATATAGAATAAGTTATAAAAACAACAGATGTCCCATACATACGTTCTTATCCCATACCGTATTCATACAATTATATGTTTAGGAAATGTTTAAATAATAATTTAATTTAGTACAGTTTTATACTGGTAATAATTTAACTAGAAAACATACTGTATAGATGCAGTACGATACAGTTTATATTTAAATGAATTAAGATCCACACACAAGCAACTGTACTGATGTTTGAAATGCCTACTTTACCGTAACCACCATCTGAGTTTAATTATGTACTGATGCAGTGATCTAACGCCTCTTAAGAAATGCAATATATACAAGACCATATACAGCATATGAAATACACAAATGAAATAAACAAACCTGGATAACGAAATCTTCAAAACACAAACGCCGAGTGCCATTAAAACACAATATTCAAAATTCAAAATCAGCAAGGGGCTGATTTTAAGGAAAACGATCAAAGTGACCACCTCAAACATATATGTAAGGCTGCAGAGTAGATATGCCTGACGACCCGGGGTAGAATAGGTCTTCAGCAACCCATGCTTGCCGTAAAAGGCGACTTTGCTTGTCGTAAGAGGCGACTAACGGGATCGTGTGGTCAGGCTCGCTGACTTGGTTGATGCATGTCATCGATCCCAATTGTGTGGATCGATGCTCATGAGATCAATCACTGGATTATCTGGTCCGGACTCGATTATTTACAGACAGCCATCACATAGCTAGAATATTGCTGAGTGCGGCGTTAAACAAACAAACAAACACACACAAACGAACAAACAAACAAACAAGATATGCCTGACAGAAACCTTTAAAACTAAATACATAATAGATAGTAAGCTGACTAGAGAAACTAAATCAGAAAGACAAAAGAAACTTGGACCCAGAGGGCTCCATCATCCTCAATTTATGATGTCTTAACTTTATAGGATATTCCCTCGAACAGGTTGTTTATCATTAGGATGAAAAGTGCTATTTTCTAGGGGACACTGGTCCGATAGCGTTTGGCCTATACCCACAGTTATTTTGCGTGATGTTAGGAAATCCTGTATATAGTTAAATCTTTGGCCATTGAGTCCAATGTTTTGGAGTTTTTGTATTAACCCGCTGTGCCAAACCCATTCGTGACCAACTCGTGTTATTCCGGGACAAGCCGAATAGCGACTCGTGCCCCTCTCATGGCCATTTTGTGCGACCGGGTTCCATCTTAGCGCAAACGGGCATACCTAAAACAATTGTCAACTCGTTGCGTAATGGTTCACATATATTTCCCCATATATTATATATATTTCAGATGCAATGTAAAGCACATCGGGACGTGCGGAATTATACAGTGTGATTGAACACACGTAACTGTGTCTTGGGTATATTTTTAGACGCAGGACATACATGTATGTCAAATCAAAAATTATTTCTGAGGGATTCTTTGATGAAGAACTTGAAATCATACGCGCATTCTGATTGGTTTGTCGTATTTTCGCACATAACTTTGATCGATAGGGGGGACGAGTCTTCTTGCAAATTGTTTGATAGGCATTACTTAGAAGTTGACGGAAGACAAGATATACACAATTTTTATGGATAACAACTTCTTTAATACTGTGAAAAGCGACGTTTCGGTATAGATCCTTATACCGTTGTCAAGCAAGACTGAATGGGGCACATAGTGCAGAATATATATAGTCGGTGGGGGATTAACATGAAACCTTGAATACACCCCAGGCTTGCGCTAAACTGAAATGGTTTACCTGTGTTTGCTGCTTGTACCCTGACCTCATGAACGTTGCTCATACTATCAATCACTGGACCACCGGGACATTGCTTAGTGCGGTGTTAATACGAAGGCTGGTCAAAAACGTCTAAGCCTAACGAACAAAACCAACAATTGTGAAAGTTTCTTTATTTCTATTTTTCTACAAAAGATCCCTGCTTTTCAATCCGCTTCTCATAAAGATTGTGAAGCTTTTCAATTCCAGCCAGGAAGAAGTTTTCTGAAGACACCCTGACAAACCCATTCACGGCAGCTTCGATGTCATCGTTTCGCATAGCCCTATCCACGAATGTATTCGTTCAGTTTAGGAATCAGGTCGAAATCACTTGGTGCCAGGTCTGGCGAGTATGGAGGGTGTTAAGCTCTTCGAACCCACATTGTCGCACAGCAGCCTTTGCAAGTCGAAAGGCGTGAGAAAAGGTATTGTCATGAAGTCGTAGAACTCAGGCAGCCAGCATTCCTTGTCGCTTTTCTTTGATATACTCTCTCAGCATTGTAGGAACCGGTAAACGTCTTTTGACTTTCTAAGTAATCAACAAGGATCAAAACCCTTTGCATCCTAGAACACAGTGGCCATAACTTTCTTCACTGATCTTGAAGACTTGAATTTATTTGGTGCCTGCGAAATGGATTGACTTTTGACTCGGGGTCATAGTGGTAGACACATGTTTCATCACCTGTTACTAATCTCGTTTTGAATTTGACGAAATCCTCCTCAAATAGCTCTACATTTTCTCAAAGCTATGTCAGTTCCCTTTTCCTTAAGATCAGAACTTTGGCACCCAACGAGCAGATGTCTTATCCATCTTTAAATGTTCATGAATAATAGTTTCAATGGATCCATGGCTTAGACCTGTGTCTTCCTCAAGTTCAACAATGGTAATACGTCTATCTGGCAGTGTAAGTTTTTTTCTATCTCCTTGATTGAATCTTAATTGATAGAGGTTGAGGGAGGTCCAGACCTAGGGTCATCATTAAGGCTTGTTCTGCCAGTCTTAAACATAGCTGCCCAAGGTTTAACAGTGGCACAGCTGTGGCACTTGTCCCCATACACTTGTTACATGTAGTCATGAATTTCTTGGGGAGTACTTTCCTCTAAAGTAAAAAACTTGATGACTGCTCGGTACATATTCTTTTCCATGTCTGTGTCCATTTGGACCCCTATCACGTTCAACTGGCTTTCACTAATATACAAATGACCTCAACAGACCAAATGCATAATGAACTTTTCAATGAACTTAGAATGAACTACTCAAACAATGTCCTACATTGACTAGTTCACTTTGTTATGGCCCATAGTTGGAAGTTAGAGAGGCTTAGAACTGTTTGACCAGCCCTCGTAAACACATAAACATATTTAAAGAGTGGGGGTATAGGTGACTTTGTCTTCATGTTTTTGTTTGAAACGTTTGGAGCTGCACGGGACATTGGCACCAGAAGGAGGAGCGTAGTTCTTCTTGAAGCTCGGTTTATCATCTTTGCTAGAGCACGCTGAAGACCCGGGTTCGATTCCCGACACGGGTACGATTCGTGAAGCCCATTTCTGGTGTCCCCCGCCGTGATATTGCTGGAATATTGCTAAAAGCGGCGTAAAGCCACACTCACTCACCCTTAGTAGAGCAGGTTTTCTTTTCGATGTTTACAAATGCTCTACATCGTTATACACTTTCACATTGATTGTTAGTAAAATAAAACTATAATTATTGCTTACAAATTGTATTCTGATCTAACTTTATTATTTCTGTTTTATTCTGCACTGAGGCTCTTGAAACTGAACTAATATGAATTACCGAATGATTTGTCTATTGACAGGTCATGTGCAGCGAATTTGTATATCAGAGATCTGAGGGAAGATCTACGGACTTCAAGGAATGTATACAGGATTCTTTGAAAGACTCATTTGATCAACGTGGGATAGTTGTAGCAAGGCTTCACCAACTTGCAGAAGATCTTGATGAAGCGCAACAAAAGCTCTATTTAGCGAAATCTGCATTTGCGGCAGGGGGAGTGTCGGGAGGAGTGCTCACAGCAGTAGGATTACTTGGGATACCTTTCACATTCGGACTTTCCACAGGATTGACTATTTTGGGGGTTTCATCCGGAATTGGTGGGTTTGGTACCGAGCTGTACAATAGCGCGCTCAACAAAACAACAATTCTAAAGGCTTAAAAACAAATAGACACACTCAGAGAAGAAGAAACACACACACTGGATCTAATTGGGGAGATGAGAAGTACCAAACCACGAGAATTTAAAGAGTTTCTGAGGAATGATTTGAAACAGTTAATGGACCCAAGATACCACGAAGTACTTTCTGACGTGCTGACCATAGAAGATGGCGATAGCAAGGTGAAGGAACAAGGTTATGCATATAATGTAAAAGCCGCCATTGGGAAGATGCTAAAGAAAGATAACTTATATGGGAAAGCAACACTCGCATGTGGTAGAATGTGTCTTTCTGCTATCGATGTTGCGTCCGATGGAGCAAAGCTGTCAAGTTTGCTTTCCTTTGTCTCCGTCCCTTTCGATTTACACACACTCATCTCAAACAGTTGGAAATCAATGAAAAAGAAGCTGTGAAACTGCGAACAATTGCAAAAATACTGCCCTCGATTGCAACGTCACGATGTCGTAAGTATAACGTTTATGCAAATACTGATATATTGTTGTTATGACATGGCACAATACATGGCACAATACATGGACTTGCATACTTCTTTAACGTTTGCTGAAAGGTCATAACATTGTCTTATATGTTGCAGAATCTGAGGCTCAGAAACTACGTAAGGAGAAAGAACAGATGAAAGAGGAAATGAAGAAGAACGCTAATGCATGGGAGAAGATGAAAAGCAAGATCGAAGAGGATGTCACCATGGAAATGGAATCCTTGTCTGCTGAATATGACTACAGGACACACGTCATCAAGAAAGCAAAAATATACAATCTAATATGTCAGATGGTGCTTGTTCTCATCACTGTTTGCCTGTCTGTGTTTGCTTCCTGGTTTGAGTCGGGTTGGGTTGGCTGGCTGCTTTATCTAGTTGTATGTTTGTTGGCACTATATGATATATATCTGTTCATACTGTATCCAGTAGAGCACGTCCACAAAACCTGGATAGAGAAACGAGTCCAAACAGGAATGGATAAGCACACATATGCCATGGAGGCTCTCTTTAAGGTCCCTCCACTGATTCCAAATACTAATGTCACAACCCTACCTAGCAACTCTCTACGGATAGAATATTCGAATCAAATTTTGAAACAATCAATTAAGGATTTTTTCATCATTCCTATGAAGCTCTGTCTGAACTTGTACATACTCGTTGGGCTGTCTGGGTCACTACCTGAGGCTGCTGTGCCATTAAACCAGCACCTCCTGGAAGGTTCTTCAAACACCTCTCTGATGTCAACGGTCTTGAGTAGCCTAATGCTTCCATGGGGTAGTGAACCCACTGGTACAACAGTAGGGTTGAGGATGGATCTTTACATATTATATTTGGCTATCATTTGCTATCTTCTTGTAGCATATGTCCAGGATATACAAGGCTGCCAACAATCTGAGGTATCAAGAAACATTTTAGGCATGGCTGAACATTTCAAGTTTAATCTGAAGGAAATGGATCGTATTATGCAGCGCAGAGTCATACAGTCAGAAAAGAAGCATGGTGACAGAACTGTATCACAGACATAATCTGCCTACACATGATACTTTCATCTTTAAAAAAAATACTCGTTATTGTACACATAGAGTTATAGGATAGGAATATCTTAATGAATAAAAGAATAAGGTAGTTTCAGAAACAGTTATCATAACACCCGTCAAACATCCACAATTGCAAAATATGTCAAATTAAGGTTATTCCTGGTGAAAAGAATGCAAATACTTTTGAGGTTCCATGAATACATATGCGACCAACTGATCAAGGATCTGATGTTCGCAACGCTACGCAGCCTAAACACGTTCGTCAAATGATGTGATATTGTTTTTAATGTTTTCAATGTAGAGCTAAGTTACCTGTATATTTAACCGAGTAAACTGATTTTGGAACCGAATGCACATCGGTCTTACATATGGAAACATACACGCAAAAACATTGCTTGATGATCTAATTAAATGCCAAGGAAACACTTGCAATATATTTGTTGTGATTTGATACTTCTGACAGAATCAAATTTTTTTAATAGGCTGTGAATTGGAAGCTAATGTTGGACTGAAATCATATCCATACTGCTCACTAAAATAGTTATGATCAGAAAATGTTTTTAGTGGTTTAGGGTGAGGTGAGGTGAGGTGAGGTGAGGTGAGGTGAGGTGAAATGGGGTTTAACGTCGCGTCCAAGATTATTGCACTGCATGCACGTGTATGTGTGTGTGTGGCTGCTTGTACTAGTCCGGACTGATGCCGATTTATAGTGCTTGGACACTGAGATACCATGCCGCAGTTTAACATGGATACCCCACTCAGACAGGACTCACTCCGAGCCGACCAGTCCTTGTTTTAGCCCCTTAATGCCGAGCGCCAGACAGAGTAACAACAAGTACCATCTTTTAACGTCTTTTCGTATGACGCGGCTGGGGATCGAACCCCGGACCTTCCGCTTTCTGGGCGGACGCTGTATCATTAGACGCGGTCAGTAGTTTAGGGACCGCCTCCATGGTTTAGTGGATAGAGCGTCAACAACTTTAACCTGAGCTCTGTTAATGCCATCTTCACTGGGAAAAGGTACAAGCCAATGTGACATTATTTCTATTTGATGTTATGATTTGTGTTGTGTTCTTCGTGATGTTTACACGTCGCTATATAAGTGCAACAATCTTTGACGCGGCGTTAAACCCAATTTCCCCTCACCTCATGGTGTTTATTTGTTTAGTATTATTGCTTACATACATACATACTGGAACAAGAGTATTAAGAAGATGAATACATTATGGAGAGGTCAAACCAACAATGTCTTATAACCTATTGACTTTCTTTACACGTCTTTGACATATATACATCTATATGCCTTAGTTTTGAGATTAAGTCATATGTGTACATACGCTTATTATGAAATTATAAGACAATTTTGTTCTTTTCTACATGTAAACAAGAAATTGTATATTCCCATTGCATGTTTGCGATCCTTCCTAAAAAAGTACAATGTGTTTTGCTGCAGTCAACAAATAGAAGATGGGGGACCATTATCAAACTTCATTACACAGTCTTTTGTATTCTGTCAAATATATGAAGAATTGTTTACAAGTCAAGAGCTTTATACATACTAGGCATGAAGCATTGCTTTCTTTATTCGGATTTTCGTAGAATTTAATTGCATTTTAGTCAATAGTGAAGATAATCTAGCTATCTTGGTTTGTAAATCTTGAAACTAATGCGTCTCAATATTGAGACAACTATGCATGGTCTAATAAATGCGAACAGAGACCACTCGTATGTTTCGCATTAATTTCCCTCTCGCATTAATTTCGAGATTTACTTATACAAAGTTACAAGAGTTTGTATATTTTCCTAGGTTTATCATGTAGCTATCTTGTGGGTTTTTTAAATAATAGTTTGTATGTTATAATAGGTTTATCACGCAGTTATCATGGAATGAATTTCACATTGAGGTGGTTTACTGGAGTATGAACGCTAAAGTCGTGTAAACGCCGGAGCTTGCGACATTCTGACAATTTGCGTATTGTTATTTGTTTTTATGTTTTTCATTGTAACCAAGAGAAATGGTCAGAAATGCCGATAAAAAGAAAACGTTGTCGTGCGTGATTTTGCATCAGTCATGCCGTCACACAGAACGAAAACTTTGTTGAATTTACCAAATGATTGTAATGTATCTATTTTCTAATTCCCTAATTCTTGCTACGATACACTTCCCATGCATAGAGCCATTGTGTCGCTCAAAATAGGAGAAAATGCTACACAGTGTAATATCTGAATTTTGCGTTGTTTGCATTTCAAACAAGTGCAGTTTTCCGATCATAGCCATCGTTTTCACACCTAATTTATTTCGCTTGCGTTTGGTGACAAAGGCCATTTATCATTTCAGTCTAAAACGTATAAGGAATTCAGGGATGTATGTATCGCCGCTGAGTTTGAAAAACACGTGATGTAATAGGCGTCTCATACGTGAACATGATTTTGTAAACACTGTTTCACATTGATCATTGGTGATTTGATTTAAAAAATATATATACCGGAAATCACCGATATGCTATTTTTGAAATTCAATTCTCCGTGTAAATATCCAATATTTTGATTTCAAAACATGTATGGACACTATAACAGGGAAGTGATCAGACACATCGAAAGGAGTTGAATCCGTGTAAATATCCAATATTTTGATTTCAAAACATACACTTAATAACGCAGTAATTTAATGGCGATTTAGTAATGTGTAAAAAATGCTCAGATTTACGATGTCCCGAATTTTCAGAGGTCATTTTCATTAATTTTCTTTTGCTCAAAATGAGATTGTCATAACTTATACTGATAAAAAACAATAAGGAAATAAAGCGACTTGTTAAATATTTGTTCACTGTTGTTCACACATACATGCAGTGGCTACAGCATCCTAGTGAGTGAGTGAGTGAGTGAGTGAGTGAGTGCTATTTAACATATTTAGGAGATAAACAGTATGTGTTTTCAGATTTGCGGAGGTTTTTGGGTTTCAATGCCCGGAAAATTAATCTGGAACCGTCAACGATAGACTGAGGTGTCAAATGTTCAATGTTTCGGGCATCGAATACTCAATAACACCCACAAATATAAAACGCATACTGCCTATCATCATTGTGTGTTTCTGAAGCACTCTCTCTGTGCGTGAGCTCTAACAGTTGTGAGACAGTACGTGACGTCATAAGACAATAGATGATGTCACATGCTCATGTGCTAAATGACACTGTCTGGTTGGCTGAATGTGGACAAGAGCATTAAATCCAAGTCGTTTTGATAAATATTGATCATATTAATAATGTATTAATGTGGTATCCATATTGCCAAGCCCACTGAAACGTCTTTTTCAAATTAAGGATTGTATACTGACATCATGTGTGTACATGTGTCACTATATATAGCTACGTTGTCTACTGACATCCAGGGTGTACATATGTCACTATATATAGCTACGTTGTCTACTGACATCCTGTGTGTACATGTGTCACTACATATAGCTACGTTGTATACTGACAACATTGGTGTACATGTGTCACTATAATGAATGAATGATCTTTATTTCCTCCATTAATTTCGGAGAGTGATATACATTTGGAATCATGTTAACACAGCATATTTACACGAACATTATATTATGCAGAGAAATTGGCAATACTGAATATTTACATGTCCTGTTCCTGGTATGAGATATCATGGGTGTACACATGTCACTATATATAGCTACGTTGTATACTGACATCCTGGGTGTACATGTGTCACTATATATAGCTACGTTGTATACGGATATCATGGGTGTACATGTGTCACTATATATAGCTACGTTGTATACTGATATCATGGGTGTACACATGACACTATATATAGCTATGTTGAATACTGACATCCTGGGTACATGTGTCACTATATATAGCTACGTTGTATACTGACATCCTGTGTTTACATGTGTCACTACATATAGCTACGTTGAATACTGACATCATGGGTGTACATGTGTCATTCTATATAGCTATGTTGAATACTTACATCCTGGGTGTACATGTGTCACTATATATAGCTACGTTGTATACTGACATCCAGGGTGTACATGTGTCACTACATATAGCTACGGTGTATACTGACATCCAGGGTGTACACCCTGGATGTCAGTATACACCGTAGCTATATGTAGTGAGACGTGTACACCTATGATGTCAGTATACAACGTAGCTATATATAGTGACACATGTACACAGAGGATGACAGTTTACAACGTAGCTATATGTAGTGACACGTGCACGCCAAGTATGTCAGTATATGAAATAGGTAAACCTGGTGAACACCGCACAACCAGGATGTTATTTTACAACGTAGCTGTATAGTGACACATGCACACCCAAAAAGTCAGTATACAACGTAGCTATGTATAGTGACACATATACACCCAAGAAGTCAGTATACAACGTAGCTATATATGGTGACACATGTACACCCAGGATGTCAGTTTGCAAAGTAACTATATAAACTGATACATGAACACCCAGGATGTCAGTTTGCAAAGTAGCTATATCTAGTGACACATTTACACCCAGGATGTCAGTATACAACGTAGCTATATATGGTGACACATGTACACCCTGGATGTCAGTTTGCAAAATAGCTATATCTAGTGGTACATGAACACCCAGGATGTCAGTTTGCAAAGTAGCTATATCTAGTGACACATGTACACCCAGGATGTCAGTTTGCAAAGTAGCTATATCTAGTGATGTTTTTACTCAGGATGTCAGTTTGCAAAGTAGCTATATCTAGTGACACATGTACACCCAGGATGTCAGTTTGCAAAGTAGCTATATCTAGTGACACATGTACACCCATGATGTCAGTATACAACGTAGCTATATATAGTGACACATGTACACCCAGGATGTCAGTATTCAACATAGCTATATATAGTGACACATGTACACCCATGATGTCAGTATACAACGTAGCTATATATAGTGACACATGTACACCAATGATATCAGTATACAACGTAGCTATATATAGTGACACATGTACACCCATGATATCAGTATACAACGTAGCTATATGTAGTGACACATGTACACCCTGGATGTCAGTATACAACGTAGCTATATGTAGTGACACATGTACACCCAGGATGTCAGTATTCAACATAGCTATATATAGTGACATATGTACACCCAGGATGTCAGTTTGCAAAGTAGCTATATCTAGTGACACATTTACACCCAGGATGTCAGTATACAACGTAGCTATATGTAGTGGCACATGTACACCCAGGATGTCAGTATACAACGTAGCTATATGTAGTGACACATGTACACCCAGGATGTCAGTATTCAACATAGCTATATATAGTGACATATGTACACCCAGGATGTCAGTTTGCAAAGTAGCTATATCTAGTGACACATTTACACCCAGGATGTCAGTATACAACGTAGCTATATGTAGTGGCACATGTACATCCAGGATGTCAGTATAGAACGTAGCTATATATGGTGACACATGTACACCCAGGATGCCAGTATACAACGTAGCTATATATGGTGACACATGTACACCCAGGATGTCAGTATACAGCGTAGCTATATATAGTGACACATGTACGCCCAGGATGTCAGTTTGCAAAGTAGCTATATAAACTGATACATGAACACCCAGGATGTCAGTTTGCAAAGTAGCTATATCTAGTGACACATGTATACCCAGGATGTCAGTATACAACGTAGCTATATATGGTGACACATGTACACCAAGAATGCCTGTATACAACGTAGCTATATATGGTGACACATGTACACCCTGGATGTCAGTATACAACGTAGCTATATATAGTGACACGTGTACACCCAGGATGTCAGTATACAACGTAGCTATATATGGTGACACATGTACACCCAGGATGCCAGTATACAACGTAGCTATATATAGTGACACATGTACACCCAGGATGTCAGTTTGCAAAGTAGCTATATAAACTGATACATGAACACCCAGGATGTCAGTTTGCAAAGTAGCTATATCTAGTGGCACATTTACACCCAGGATGTCAGTATACAACGTAGCTATATATGGTGACACATGTACACCCTGGATGTCAGTTTGTAAAGTAGCTATATATAGTGGTACATGAACACCCAGGATGTCAGTATACAACGTAGCTATATGTAGTGACACATGAACACCCAGGATGTCAGTTTGTAAAGTAGCTATATATAGTGGTACATGAACACCCAGGATGTCAGTATACAACCTAGCTATATGTAGTGACACATGTACACCCTGGATGTCAGTTTGTAAAGTAGCTATATATAGTGGTACATGAACACCCAGGATGTCAGTATACAACGTAGCTATATATAGTGACACATGAACACCCAGGATGTCAGCATACAACGTAGCTATATATAGTAACACATGTACACCCAGGATGTCAGCATACAACGTAGCTATATATAGTGACACATGTACACCCAGGATGCCAGTATACAACGTAGCTATATATGGTGACACATGTACACCCTGGATGCCAGTATACAACGTAGCTATATATAGTGACACATGTATACCCAGGATGCCAGTATACAACGTAGCTATATATGGTGACACATGTATACCCAGGATGCCAGTATACAACGTAGCAATATACGGTGACAAATGTACACCCAGGATGTCAGTATACAACGTAGCTATATATGGTGACACATGTACACCCAGGATGCCAGTATACATCGTAGCTATATATGGTGACACATGTACACCCAGGATGCCAGTATACAACGTAGCTATATATAGTGACACATGTACAACCAGGATGCTAGTATACATCGTAACTACATAAAGTGCTACATGTGCCCGCCCGGTTGTCAACACAGAAAATTATGTTTCAGACGATGTGTAAAATCAGTCAGTGTGTCAATGGACAATGAACAGATTTGTCACTTAATTTGTAAAATGACTAAAATATTTAGACATTTTAGAAATTGCCTAAATGAATGAGATTTAACACCTTGAGTGCAACATGTTTATTGGTACGTATTCACATTGGGTGTTTGTGTAGATCATAGCAGGATGCGCATGCGCCTGAATAGCATGTCGCTGAAAAGAATGCTCCGTCACAATCGCGTTATTTATGAGATGATGTTGTGCAAAAATAATGTAATGTGACCTTGAAGCAACCCGGAATGGGTATATGTGAGTGAATCATGAACATTATTGTGCGTTTTGCTTAAAATCAAAGGACCTAAATGTAAACAAATGTGAAGGCGAATTTACACAAGTATTGTCACTGCTGACTGACCCAGCGTCCAGGCAATCAACAAACAATTGGCAGCCCGTGCAGAGTCATTGAAGCACTGACCAGTTCTCACAGCAAGGAAGATGGCCTACGATATCCAAAGTGTGGAGGATACACGCATTGACATTTTCAAAGCAATACACAGACGGCTTGGACAACGTGATGGAATTTATTTTGAAAATGAACTGTTTGAAACATACACTAATGATAAAGAAAACGGAACGAAGAGAGGAAGAGTAGACAAGAATAGTCGACGTGATGCCCCAAAATGGACGTCTACCAAAACGTGTTCACAGAGAGCATTCCAGGAAGTCGGTGATTGAGAAATGTGCGTCTGGTGTATATTGCCTTTATGACGTCTGGTGTATATTGCTTTTATGACGTTTTTACAAACACAACCCCCTCCGACATACTGGAAAAACAACAAGCAGTTGCAAGCCCGACCCCCGCCCGACCCACATGGAGACAGTTCAATGGACAAACAACGAGGTAAAGATTTTTCTACCCTTATCTATACCACGTCCAATTTTCATTCTTTAAAAATCTGTTGT